CTGAAGGGCAGTATTCCTCTCTCTGGTTGCCTCTCCAACATATTTGATAGTTCGTTGCTGATACTTATTATTGCCACCCAAATTATTGGAGAACACTAGCGTCGCCATCCCTTTGGTACTGTTAAGCATCGAGATTGGGTTGTTCATCTGACTGGCAGATTTCCGCCTCTTGCTGCAATTGATACATCATAAAGACATAAACAATTATGAATCTTTCCCCACCATGGACTGTTGTACTTCTTCTTGATTGCTGTGCTGTGACTTATCGCTCTGAAGCATAGAGTATTCCATGTGGAGAGCGGTGTGGCTGCTTTAATCCAAGTGCACATGCAGTGATAGGAAATTATTTAGTGGGACTGAGTACTCGTCTCGACTCTTCTTAGGCATGCCAACTTCTTCCTGACGATGTTGTCATTGGTGCAAGACGCAGGCATAAAAGATATTGCGCGAGATCCGATGAAGGCGCGTGATTTCGTGAAGGAACGTTTCTGCCTTGATGAGACGGAAGAAAGGGCGGCGCACCGATTTGCTAGTCGTATCTTCGACTCCATCAAGGCTATTATGCCGGAAGTGATGGAGAGAATTCATACTGTTTTGCAGGTAGGTTGTTCTGCGTATTTCATAAAGTATTTGCGCTTACTATTTGTGGATAGCACTGTCGCTTACACCACCGTTGCCATTAGCACTCTTGATACCAATGTTACCACTGCCTACACCACCGCCGACATTGTTTGTAGCCTCTGATATTGTCAGTGCGGCAACCATTACCACTGCTATCGCTATACCCACTATAACATTGTTGCCCTTATCGTGTCAATCCTCATGGCAGCGGTTTAGTCAATTGGCCTTGGTCACCCCATCTCTAGCCTGTAACCTCAAAGTCGAAATTGTAATGCCTTTCTCACCGTCTTTGTAGAAAGCTTTTTTGCGTGTCCTCAAGGCAAGGAACTAAGGCTTGCATTGTTGCTCTTTTGACTTTTATTGCTCTCAAATTAGCTTACCTACCTTGTGCAATATCGGTTTTGTTATAGATAAATAAGTGATAAGTCATCGGCTATGTTGAGGGAACAATGTTATGGTAGAATGTACATAATCAGGAATGGAAAGAAATCGTTCTTTCTCCTTTTAGTACATGCGGAACTGATGCTCTTGTGCCACTTGAATTTTTTTGTTTTGGCACGATGCATAGGATCTGAACATCTGGTGGTTGTGTGTTAATGTATAAATGTGATGTAAACGTCATCATCCGGGCCTTAGTTGCCGTAGCAATTGTCTTTCCCAATACTGTCACCAAGGTCAGAAGATACACCGGAAATATTTTTTTATCTGTATGTATTTTAGTGACTGTAATTCAAATTAAATCCCTTTCCACTTGACATACAATCGCCCATTCACTGTCTTATGGTGTGGAGAGGTTTGATGATACACTTGGGGTGATTTTTGTTCTTCATTGAAGTTTAACAAAATGTGGTCCTTTTCAAACCAAACGGTTCTCAAAAATCCACAAGTGTGGTGGGGAGGGTGAATGAGCTTTGGAGCTTTTTTACCGTGGGAGCGGATAAGTGCAGATGTAATAAACGTTTCAGCTTGCGAGACTATCTCAACACATCGAGCTCGCAGGCTCGATTTTACCTGAACGTAGTTATTGAAGACACAACTAATCCAGTCCCAACCTCGGTCATGTCCGTTCTTAGCTCACTTTTATTTCCGATTTGACCACTCTGGTAGCCTGGATTTTGGTGTGGCCAATCAGGATTACATTGTCACTCAGGCGTTAAATGAGATAACGACTAG